TATGTAAAAAACTGATACTATATTAAGTAATTGAACTCTTGATTAAAGGGAAATCAATAAAACCAATAAATACAGTAAAAGGCCAAAATAAGAATGCATATTTGAGTTATTGTGTTGTCTGCTGTACAATTTGGGTGCATTGCTAAAGAACAGCCATAGGGGGAGCAATAGAGAAAAGCAGTGGGCGGAGATTCAGCATACCCATCCATGGGAGGAGTCAAATTCAGGCTGCAGTACCAGAATGGGGTTGTAGAGGGACTCAGAGTGCAAATCTGTGTGAAATGTCAGGGGCTAAAAACTCGTTTTTCATACAAAGTGAGGACTATCATGAAAAATAGACAGTAGCATATATATAGCTAGTACAGCTGATTACCACTGAAAACAAAGTGAGGACCTGGCAAATGTCCTCACTTCCCAAAAATGACCTCACTTTGTTGGTTAAAAACTTATGATGGTCCTCACTCTGTAGCAAAAACAGGAACACACACACACACACACACACACACACAACTCATTAACTTAAATAACCACCACAATCAACTGGCATTGGAAAACACAAAAATGATTATAATTTAGTCAATGTTACAGATTTTGTGCTAAACTTAGGTTTGGTTGTAGCAGAGATTCATCCCCAACACATACTCCAAGTGCAACTTACAGCGCAAGAACTTTGCTTAAAACTTTATGACTAACTGCAGAGGTCAACCCTGTTGTTGGCAAAACATCTTGTGAACCACTGAACAGATGTTATTGAACTTTTAAGAAATTCTTCTTCTTTCAGCTTTTTCCTCTTCAGAGGTCGCCACAGCGAGTCATCCTCCTCCACCTCAGTCTCAGTCACTCCCTCTGTCATCACTCCAACAACCACCTGAACCTTTAAGAAACTGATCATTGGACGAGCATCAAAAACTAACTTTTGGAATCAACTTAATTCAGGTTGGCTGTCGCAGCTAAACAGTATCTGCATACACAAAAAAAGGCTACAACTCGGTGCATTTTCCAAACAAATATGATGTGGTAGTAGTCGAGAGTCCCTGACAACTCATACTCAGAAGTGTGACAACTCAGAACATCGCATGCGATTTTGCATAAAGTTATTTTTCACAGTTTGACTTAAACAGCTACAACTCTTATCACTTCTCAAATCAAGATGATCTTAATCTAAAACTCTGGCATGAAAGGAGGTGGACGATACACAGTCCTGTAAAGAATGCCAGGCCTTTATAGTATACATGTGATAGCATACTTTTTTAATAGAGAAATAAGCTGACAGCAACTGACTGGTTGCTTTCTGGATGTATTTAGGAAAGAAAAAAGCCAAACAGAAAATGTTTTATGGTGCAATGCCAACTGTGACCACCAGGGCCAGGCCTATCCTGTGCAATACATGGAACAAAACAAAGTGCATTAATTTTTACCTTTAAATCACTGACCATAAAAATCAAATTCCCTTCTGTTTGGTAGAATAAAGTAAATCCATCATCTAGAATATTTTAACAACTCATATTTTGTCCAAACAGATAAAAAAAAACTCACTCTGCGACTAAACCTTTTTTGCTCTAACATATGGCCACATCCAGAGCTAAACAAAGGGGGCTCATGACTAAATGCAGAGACCAGTTTTATTAGCATAATAAAGACCATAAGGTATTTTAAAATGCTTGGAAGAATGTTTATTTTGCAGATGAATCAAAGTGTTACGCATTTGTGCCAACGAATAGCTTGAAAATTTCACATACGTCACAGACATACAACATTAACTTGACTGAACGTTGTAAATTCTACACAAGGAATGACTCGTTTAACTAAGAGGCAATGAATGGCATTAGAATAAATATCAACTTTGACTTGCTTGGAGTTCACCATCGACTATAAAACAATCGTTTGAACATTTAAAAAAAAAACATCAGCTGCAGCAGAGCATGTACGGTTTTTAGTCAGCATGCATCAAGATCTGCAGACTTAACTATAAGAAAGCCCCTTCAAATTGTTTCCACAAAAATGTTTTGATTAGTGCATGCAGCATTTTCTTCCTCACCAGTAAGGAGTGCAGACTTTGCAGTTACCCTCAGCTGACATAGCTGAGTCATACTGATAAAAAGAGGGGACAAATATAAATTAAAACGCCCCCTCTAAACATTAAGTCTGACGTCAACGCCTGCCCACTGAGCAGCAGGTTAGCATGTTGCACACATGAACACGCTAATGAGGCTCCAAGCCACTGAGGGGTAATCAAGTGTCTGAGTGAGAGCATCGACAAAACATCCGCCACACGGTACTGTAGGTTTCATGTTGCAGAATTTACCCTGATCAAGACGAGGCTTGGTCAACATTCATCTTATTAACATGTGAAATTGTTAATTCTCGCCCAGACTTCAGAGTGGTTATTTCTGTTGCTTTTTAATGATTGTAAAAAACTGTATTTTACAAAGCAAGAGGACTTTTCCACAACTTAAAGACGCCGATATACCAGAAACATTGAGAAAGAATCCAAATGTAAATTTGCACCGAGCGTTTTCGCATCCCCCCGTCTCCAGCAGGAGATCCTCGCAGTGATAAATGTACATTAATCAGCTTAAACGTCAAATGTCCAATATTAGAAATTAAAATGGCCCTACAGACACACACACAACAAAAGTTAAATCAGACGTGCTCAGGTAAACAACAGACCATTTAGTTTGTTGGTAACCAGTGACTCATTTCCTTGACAGAAACACATCCATACGTTCTTCCTCTGAGTCAGTTTCCATCCTTCTCATGTGACATTTTGCTGAATCACACACACACTGCCCTGCAGCCATCTTTATTCATGTGTGTAAATCCATGCGTTTGTGTTTGTGTGCGAGAGAGAGAGAGGGATTGAGGCTACTGTTTGTGTGACGTCAGAGCTCCATTCATGAACATCATCCCTCCTCCTCCTCCTGTTCGACTTCACTACGTAGCTGCTAATGTGATACAACGCACCACGTGGGGGTCCTTACCCCCTTTTCCATCCAATCAGAGCTCACTGCTTAACACGGCAGATTCAAGTGACGCTACACGACTCTCAGGTCACGCACACATGCGTGCACATGGACACCCTCCCCAGGTGAGCTTCTAAGATATGATGATGGCGTAAGAATTCAAGAAGAGAACCTGAATCAATATTTTAAAAAAAAATGCTACAGATGGAAGAAATCGCAGGACGGGATGGAAAAGGAAGGACACATAAGCATGGATGCAAAACAACAACAGCTCTAATCCTTGATCACAACCATCGCCGAGACAAGAGGAACCAAGGGAGAACGAGTCAAAACAAGACGGGCCTACGTCAGGAGAGATAAACGAAAGACCTGGAGATAGGGATAGAGAGATGTTATGCCCCCACACACCATGACTCATCTCCAGTTTCCTACCCAGAGGGAGGAGGGCTGGTGAGGATGTGCTCCTCACAGAACGACAATCTGAAGTGCTCACACATGCGCACGTACTTGAATACGACTTCAAAAATAAAAATAAATTAAAAAAAAAAAACAAGCAGAGCAGTTAAGGCATGCTGCATTTGGAAGGAGGGAAACGCCTACCCCCCCCCCCCCCCCCCCAGATAATTCCAGCTTAATTAAATCAAGGCTTAAGCATATAAAATTGCACCATCAGTTTAATGATAAGCACTAACAGAGAAGCAGAACATTCTTTAATGATTCTCCTGGCAATTAAAATAATGTAGGTGGCCATAATGTGCTGGAAAAACCACCACACAGGAGGAGGTAAAACGCTCCACTTATTCCCAATTAATCCCGCCAACATCTGCAGCATCCTGTCTGATCTGCACCCAAATGTCAAGTGCTGCTTTTGTTGTTTTGCTTTTCTTTTCTTTCAGGTGAAGATGCAACAGCATCCTCTTCAGCCACCACAGAAACACAGCCCTGACTTTAGGAAGGTAAACAACAGCCACTCCCCCCTCCCAAGCCAGTCAGAACTGCACAGCATAAGCAGCAGGGAGGAGGAGGAAGAGGAGGAGTAGAGAGGGTGATGGATGCAGAGAGGAGTTGCTCTAATTTTTTGATGCGTGCATGTGTGAGCTTGCACGCTCAGCCTTCCTAGAAGCAGCACGCTGCTCCCCTCCACCTTCTTCTTCTAGATTCTGTGCTTTACTGAGAAATGAAGAAGCCTGCAAATTCCCGCTGGGCTGCAAATGTTTGGTGCCACCACCGTGGCACCTCCTGCTCTCCAACTTTCATCTCCCACATGCACATGTGTCTCAACATGCGTGTGAGCGTCTGCGTGCTCCAGCTGTCCCGTTTTCCAAAATTTAAAACTCTACTTTAACCCGCAACAGGGGATGAAATTGAATCGATTTGGTGCAACAACAAAAAAAATAACCACCAAGACACTCCTTAAAACTTGAGCTTTTTGCGCCACGTTTAAAAGGTGCTTGTTGCAAAGTCGTGAAGATCAGGAAGTAAAATCTGCGCAACCTTTTTTTCTCATATCAATGGTTATGATTAAAAATTTGCAAGGGAATTTTATGACCAGATTCCTGCTTTTAAATGATTTTGCTACGAAAACAGCACAAATGACTGAAACTGGATTAAATTTAGCAACATTTCTTTACCTACAGACAAGGACCAGCCTGCTGTAGTTCAATCACGTGACTCAAGCCTGCGGTTTCCACTTTGTTTACATTGAGTGTGGACCCGCATTTCAAACCGCATATTTAAAATATCTGGAAAACCAGTGGAGTACTCCTTCAAGCTGCACCAGTTGGTATAACTTAGGGTTAACTTTTTAATGTTTGATTTCACACTTTGCAATGAGCATCTTTAAGTTTAGCCTCTTCTTTTTTGTTGCAGGTTTCACGTGCATGCGGAGCACGACTGTCAAGTCCGCTGTAAAAAGTGCGCACAGAGCTGCTGGCCTAGCTCTGAAATAGCACTAGCAGCTGCAAAAGTGCACTTTTGGAGGTCCTGAACGCAACACTTCCATCTTTATTCATACATTAGTATCGGTACTGTTTTTACCTTGACTGCAGACAGCTTTGGATACACAGACGTCCTCAGTCCTGGACGGATTCCCGGAGATTAGGAGATCATTGAGAGCCAGGCACATGTAGTTTGCCAGCGCAGGGGGGTAGGACGGGTTCGGTGTGCCCACTCGGTGCCCTGCCAGGCTGCTAGCAGAGCTACCACAGCGGGCAGGGTGACAGGGCTGTCCTCCCCTCCCCGGCGGAGACAGGAGCGCGTTGACAGCGCGTCAAAATACACTCCGAGTCCAAAAAATTTTTACAATAAAATCCTCCCCTGCAAAAATAAATACAAAAATAATAAGTAGCGTTCAGCCTTATGGGGCTTATAGAGCTCAGAAGTCGGTCCCGGTCCTCTTCACGGCGTGGCGAGCCGCTCACAGGAAAGCATGTCGCATTTTTTAATTCTGCCAAAAAAAAAGCTGCTCCAAACGTGGTGTCAAAACCCGACTGTTTTCCTCCTCCGTGCCAGCGCTACAGGGGGAAGGGGGGGTGGGACAAACAGGAGGAGGGGTAATTTAAAAAAGAGAGAGAGAGGGTGATGTTTCCGTGCGATGAGTCAGAAAAAAAAATGCAAGCCAGTTTCGCAACGTCCCTCCTTCAGAAATACATCTCTCCGTCTCCTCCACTTGCTGCCCTCGCTTTGCGTTTCTTTTTTTTTTTTTTTTTTGGTGCGTCCGCTGCTCTCTGCTCCGCAGGAATAAATGTTGTCCTGCTGCAGCCTCCTCCCTGAACACCAAACAGGATAACACGGAGGCAAATTACATAGAGGATCAGATCTTATCGCCAGCTTGAAAACTCTTTTGGCGCCATATTTATGGCGTACTTTCAATTCACTGTTAGAACGCTGCACTTCCTACTCCGACAGACACGAGCCCACTGCGCCCCCGTGAGGACGGGAAGGGAACTGCACCCCGCCGCGCCTGCTGTAACCAGTTTTCATTTGGATTTTAAAATGCATTCAAATCAAAACTCACAAGGTTTTGCGCAATGAATAAATTGATTTTTTTTTATTGTAATATTTGATTTCAACACCGACAATTTTATGAAACCTATATTTTGTGATAATTTTCAGTGTTAAAATTTGTAGTTTTTTTTGTGTGTGTGTGTGTGCGCCTGAAAATTCAATGTTATTTATTCATTTTTGAAGTATTCATTTTTCTGGTTGGTATATTTTGATACCTTGAATTTGCTTTCAAGAAGATTAGTTTTTCATGCTGAACACATGGGCGGTGCAGTTTGTAGATCTGTTGCCTGTCAGCGAGAAGGTCAGCGGATCAAATCCCGGCCGTGGGCCTTTCCAGGTGGAGTTTGCATGTTCTCTCTGTGCATGCGTGGGTTTCTCCAGGTCCTCCTATAGACCAGAAACATGCATGTTAGGCTGATTGGTAACAAATTTGTTTGTAGGTGAGAGTTTGGATGGTTGTTTGGCTCTATGTGTCCCTGTGATGAACTGGAGACGTGTCCAGGGTGTCCCCCACCTTTCGCACAGCGATTGCTGGATATGGGCACCAGTGACCCCCGTGACGTGAAAAGGAAGAAGCAGGTAAAGGATAATGGATAGATGGATACTGAACACAGAGATGAGCAACAGGTTGCCAAATAGTAAATTATGAAATATCTGGCACATTAAAATAATTGTATTTCGACCCAAACTGTCATATGTGCTAAGTGAGGGTAGGCTTTTTCAACCAACGAGAGGCAGTGAGTAAGATGAGGTGTTTACGATTGGTGAACGTGGGCACAGGATGGAGGGAGGTTGCACACTTGCACACGGCCTGGCTCGTCAGTTCAGATGAGGATATGGTGTCGTTTACTTGATTGAAAACTTCTTTTTTTTTTTTGGTCAATGTAAATGTCAAAACCATCGTATAATTGCACTCTTTAAAAACCCATTTATTGCATCTTGTCTGTCTGTAAATTAATTTTTCACACTACTGGTTTATCCATCTCCATGCCTTCACTTCGGGCTCTTAAAACAATTACTTGACAGAAATTCTGCATAATTCTATGGCTGTTTAAAAAACTATAAACAATGGATATACTTTACAATACTGTAAATCAGTTGTTTGCAATCTCTCCACAGGACCACATTTAGAAAAATATGAACTACCTGTATTCTTTTGAGTTATATTTAGTGTGGTCTGTTACTAAGTTTTAATACTTTTAGGCTGACAGGATTGATGAGCTAATGGCTTGTCAGAACTAGGTCCAAAGGAGCAGAAATCCACCTTGGACTTTGCTGTATTTGTATTAGCCTTTAGCGTGTCAGTCCTGACAAAATGAAGCTGTATTCTCTCAAACTGAGTTTGTTAAAAAAGCTATCTGCATCAGGTAAGATATTAACTCTTTATAACATCAACAGAACCCCTCTTGAAAATAGCTGTAATATCCGTGCATCATCTCGCACTGATGTGCAGTTTTACTTTCTTTAAATTAATTATTTTTTAACCTTAAAATCATAAAAATATTTTTAAAAATATAGGAATATTTTAAACATGTTAGTTATTTGCCTTTTTATATATATATATATATATATATATATATATATATATATATA